ATATTATCTCAGCATCTCCTGCCACAATCCATTTTGCCATCTGTTAAGTTTCTTCAAAAGTGCCTTTTCAGAGAAGATGAGTTTAGGACTGAAAAGATCTGTATACAAAATGCAGATGGGCTCTGGGGCACATTCACCTGGCCAAGCAAAATAGTCCTTTGAAATATATCATGTGACAGATGGAGTCCATAACAAAGATTTACGATTTCAGGAAAAATGAATTGAGACAGAATAAGTCCACTCAGGGTCTTCACACTGTGGAACAATCTGAGAAAAACACGAGAGGAGAAGTGATTAATTCTGTCGGTGATATAACTCTCTTAGAACACAATTTTAAAAATCTGTTTCTGAGAGCTGTTTCTATGACCTACATAGTGACATTGTTTTATTTCGTTTTTCATTTCTCAGAGGTAACCTACAAAACGTGGAACTGTGGAATAGAAATAAATAACTGTGAGAATTCAAAGCCTGATCGAGGCCCACTTGGCATCAATATTAATAACGTGCTGAAAAGGCATCTTTCTGTGGTAGAAGCTCCGTTGAAAAGCCACTTCATTCTGGTTAGGCATAATAAGGGCTCGTTAAGAGAACTGGGGAAAGGCCCAGTCATTTTTCAATACTGGGAAACTGTCAGCAAGCGTGAAACTCACGTTAGGAAATTAAGAGGATATAGCCTCCTAGCTTAAAAATTGATTTATTACGCCCACATTGTAGAGAAGATGGATTGTTTTCTTTTAGTGATTTTCATTACTGATTAATGTGCAAAAACTAAAATATTCTGTTGGGCTTTGCATCTGCATGCTGTTACATTACTGTATCTCAGTGTGTGGTTGAGGCTTAGTGGTCAGTTTGACCAGACAGTAGAAGCAGCTGGAGGAGACCATGTGGATTTAAGCACAAAATGGCTTTTATGGACTTTAAAACGTTAGACACGCCCTCTCTTCACCACATTGCGGTGTAGTCTACCATTATTATTGTGACTAGATGTTATATCGGTGTTCAAGAATGAATAAAACCAATCAGTGATAGAAAATAAAGCTCTTCTTCAGAAAGTCTTTCTGTGGCCAAGCACACTTGTACTGGCATTAGAGCTAATTCATTTTTTGCTCAGAAAAGATGGTCACCACTGTTAACAAATGCTTAAGGCCGTAAGGTTTTCACAGCTCTGGAACTATTTGCTTAATAATGGTCTGATGTGTTTTTAAAAGAAAAGGTGACATGTATCACTGGCCAGGAAGATGTACCCAGATTCACCCCCACTATTCAGAAATGCCTTTTGGCACCGCAGGAAAACTTATTGTTTTGAAATTGCTGCGATTAGTCTACATCTGCCAACCGTTAGTTTTAATATCTTTTTTTTTGTTTTTACTTTTGTTTAATTTGCAAAATTGCAAGCAAAGCATTGCAGTCCCTCCTAAGAATTAATAATGACTGCCTGGTGTCAACAGCAGCTGTAATTTAAACCCTGCTGGTGCCATTTCGTGCCAGAGCTTTCTCCCCTTGCTATACAAATTGCCATAAGCATTGATTCAATAACAGCTAATTGAAACACAGAGGAAGACTAACTCCTTAACAGAGCTGTAGAAAAGTGACTAAGGATACTCTTGCAGACCTGGTATAATGACCTGCAGTAATTGAAGGGGAACTGCAGTCCCAATTTCTCAGACCAGTTATTCAATCTCAGTAACAAATTCATTAATGTTATAGAAAAATTATACGAATTTCAAAGTGAACTAAAAATTGTGAACTTTTTGAAAGTACTGTATGTCGCATTTGATTTCCCATTAACAGTGACGTGATGCAGCCCTTCCTGCTCACTAGTCACTGTAATGACTGATGTACTGTGACGTACGAGTGAATACAGGTCATGCAGCCGACATTTCACTGTAGAAATGTTCCAATGTGATCTGTATACAAAGTTAACAAGTAAGTCGTATTTGGCAGCAAAACGGTCTCAAAACCAATATTTCTATTGGATTAAAAGAGATGTATTCACAAGCCTGCTTCTGTACAATGTAATAAGGTCACAACACATCAAAGGAA